CCTTTCTCTCGGCAAAAGGCACATTCATCTTTGTTGAGTCTGGATCTTGACTTGGATCTCCTGTTCTTCATTCTCATATGATTTTGATAACGACCTCTCACAATCAAAGCTTCTGCTTCTCCGCCTTTTTATTTTTCTCTCTTTCTTTGTTCATAACTATATAAGGCAGAACAAACTTCTTTGAGAGATACTTCATCATTCCCATGCAGTAGGGTAGTTTCAAGGTGCTCGAACTCATTGGAAAGTGAACTTAACAACATTAAGGCCATATCTCCATCCGTAAAATTCATGTCCATATTCTGCAAATCTTTCACTACAGATCATTCATTGTGCTACTAGGAATATAAGTGAAGCGTAACAGTCTTCTTTTGAGAATTCGAAGTTTTTTTAATTCTTTGAATTGGAATGTCGTCGATAGAAATTCAGTATTTTTCAACGAAATCAATGTATGCCCGATGTTCTTGCTCTTCTTCAGTCTTCTTAGGATGAAGCTTTCACTGGAATTTCCTACTCTAAGTTCAGTGACGTGGCACAATCTAATTATTAATTAATAGAACCAAGAACAGGTTTAAGGCCATCTCTTCCAACATTTTCTTACTTCTATCCCTTTGAATAGCAAAGTTGCCCATGTCTTGTAAGCCAAGAGTTCTATCATTCCTCTCTGTCAACTCGAACTCTAAGGCAAGGAACTTTCAATTCCATTTTCTTTTCATAGGCTCTTTTATTGAGACCAAATCGTTTCTTCTTTCAAAATTCCTTACCCATATATCACAATTAGTACCCTCAAAGCCATTGCCTTTCAAGTAGAGAGTCTTTTCAAGTCAGTCTTGTCCCGCCTCCTCTGGATTATTCGTAACTTCATATTTACAATATAGGCGTGGTGGCAAAGCGGGAAAAGAAAGAGGGAATGGGAGCAGTATCTTATTCTCTTCGCGAGAACTTCCAGATCGTAGAAGCATTCAGAACGGGCTCCGCGTCACTTTCCTTCCTTCCACTCTACATTCTAGCTTTTTTTACGGACCAAAAGAAGAACAAAGAGCAACACAGTTGATAATCTACCAATCTTCTTCTCCTACATTGTCTGGTTTCTTTTCTTCTATAGCAATATCTAGCCCTTGTTGAAAAAGGACATCAAGTACCTCTCTTTGCCACATTCCGAAATGTCCTGACCCGTCAAAAATTTCAACTGCAAATTTCGCATTTGACACAATTCTTGTCATAATCGAAGATGTCAATGATGACGTATTATTGACATTCGATGTGACTCATCATTTTTATTGTCTCCCATATTTACTACAAATACTATTTACAAGCTAACAATGCAAAAACTAAAGTAAATCTTTTCTGTTGTGGAAGCTCAGACTGTGCAGCAACCACAGAGTATACTCATATAATATCTTGGCTCTGATATCAATTGTTGCGAAAGCTGAATATATAGAGAGTGATGAAATCACAACTGTTATATCTAAAGGTAGCTAATAAATAGTAAATGAGCTAACAATTAAAAAAAACACCAGGAATTTACGAGGTTCGGTAAAATTTTGTTTTCTTTTGCCTACTCCTCGGACACAATCAACCAATATTTATTTCACTCCAAAGGAGTACAAGTGAAATACTACAAGAGAGAAAGAAGATCAAATGCCTTTGAAGATGAGAAGGCAAGTGATAGGTATGCTACAAATGAAGTAGGAGCTACCTATTTATAGGAGTGAATTCTTCCTATTGATGTCATCCATGACTTCACAATGTGTCAAAATGTCAAGGTTTAACTTGTGAAACCATTTTATGGTTTACCTAAATTTCACCTACAAAGTTGCTATCTTGACTTTTGTACCAATGAAGAATTATCTTCTAACTACCAAATCTTCACATTAATTCATCTTTGAGTCTTTTCAAATTTAACAGACACTACATGTGAGAATTATAGGAGAAAAATATTATTAAATTGTGTGTCTAAATTCTTACATTGAGACCCTATTTATAGACACTACATTAGACTCTTTTTCCAACTAGGATTCCTATTCCTATTCTTATAACTATATATTAGAGTTTTGGTACTATGACTTTTAGTTCTTAGGGGTTTATTTCCGCACAATTATTTTGATTATTGAGTTGAGTTTATGAGGACTCCATTCTTTAGTTGTCTAAATTGTTATTACTACTTTATTTGATAAGCTTGTTTTTATAATAGCGTGTTGGGTTTAGTTTGGCTTAGTTTTTATTTTTCCACCATGTGATTTAGTTTGGGTGTCACTCACGACAATCTAGATTGTGACAATATTAGAATTAAGACACAACAACTAAACATAAGAGAATATAGCTTATATTTCATTTTTTTTATGAAGACTTTAATAAATTATTATTCATAATAGAATAAACTTTAATTTCTCAAAAGTAAAGAATATATATCCAAAAAATTAAATATATGGACTCTGTTCGAAACTTAGGATCATGTTGATTAAACTAAACTAATTAAGTTCACTATTAGCATTTGGATTTATAAATTTGAATTTTTGTTAGTACGTCCCCGCAATTTAAGGCATCTTGAAATCCATTAAAAACATGCAAGCTGAATAATTCACAATAAGTTAATCAAAAACTAGAAAATCACCAAAGAATTAGAATTACAATTATTATAAAAAATAAATAAAGCGTTTGTGTTCACTTCAGAACAGGATTCATTCAACTCGTTTCATTTTAGTATATGGGTTATGACCTTAACAAAACACTCCATTTTGTCATCATGAATTCAGTAAATCAAAAAGCAAAATCAAAGAAAATTAGAATTCTAACATATCTGAATATTGTTATTGACCATTAGAGTGTTTAGAACTACTTATTAGTTAAGAGATACTCATTAATCAATTGAAAAAAAGCTATTTATTTGCTTAAATATAATTATACTATACTTTACTTACTAGCTTAGTTAGATTGTAGTTTGTTGCAGCCACATAATTCAGTTTATATTATAACTTTTGAATGCATGAAGAGATACTTGAATTGAGAATGTTGAAATATTTGAAATGCAAATCACGTTTAAATGATGTTGCTGCCTGCAACTCAAAGTTCTTAATTTGCCACATTCACTAAGTTCAGTTTATATATCACTTTTGAATGCATGAAGAGATACTTGAAATGAGTGTTTTATTGAAGAGTTTGAAAATAAATAAAGTAGTTTGGAAAATACAATTTAAAGTCTCAATTATGAATTATGTACTTCTTTAACTCTTTGACAAAAATATTAAAATTGACATAGAATCGTCAATTAATTTTAAAAAAAAAAATTAAGAAACCTTAATCAAATTTTAAAAGACTTGAACAAAAAAAATTCTTTCAAGAACTCATATCTTTAAGAAAAATGATGATTTAAGATTTGTTTCAATTCATTTTTCGATATAGTTTTCACTATTGAGTTCCAAAACCTTTGGATAACATGATTTCATACAAAATTTCAAATTTAACCCTAGCCCCCGGGAATGACTTTTTGGGTCAATTTGGACCCGATTTTCAAAATCACCGATATGGATGTTTTTGTTCTCGAATCTCTATTGTGATTCCAGATTTGTTTAGTTTGTGTTGATTCAAAGGCTCATCGGAGAGGAAAAACTCAAGTGTCAAGTGGATTGTTCGCTATTTTGAGGAAAGTGGACCTCTTTGACCATTTTTTAAGTGTATTGAATCTTATATGCTCCTTGTGTGACTAGGAGTAATGGAAATTGGTGAACGGCTTCGAAATCCTTGTCTATTGTTAATTGTCGAGTGAATTCTAGTAATGATATCATTGTGTAAAAAGGATTTTGTTGATGTGCTAATGTATGTTGTGTCACGATTGATTAAATTGTTATATCGATTCACTATTGATGTTGTAACATGATTGGTTTGAACAATTATATTCATTCACTATTGATGATGTATCATGGTTGTTTAATTGTGGATTGTGTATTGAGATGTCATTTATCATTTTTTCATTGTTCATGTGAACGTGCCTATTTGCATTGGTTCTGAGATACTATGATGAGAATTAGATCTTTAATATGCCAATGGGAAAAGGTTCCAGCATGTGATGATTATGTCGATGAAAAATGGTTTCTGCGAGTGATATTTATGCCGATAGAAAATGATTTTCGACGGATGCATGAACATATACATCCATCATGGGTCCCGACTTGATACTCAGCGGTAAATGCTTTAAAGTATGGACAGATATATGCTCCATGTGTCCTGTGATGCTTGTGCAACGGGTGTGTGCCAACAGGGCAGACATGCACCACGATATTTGACTTCCATTGCATCGCATTTGCATTTAATTAGCATTCATGGCATTTATGAGCGGATTGTGATGTTCATGAGTATTTGGATATAATGTGTGATATGATGCTATGGAGATTCTAATATGTGAATTACATTTGATATATGTAGTGTATTGTTCTCTCATTTGTGAAACTGTTAGGATGGGCTGGTCTGATTTCTATGCAGGTTGTAGTATGTGGAGGTTCGGATGGTGTGGTGGAGTATTTGTGTTCAGTATTGCTTTACTTAGGGTTAGTTAGGGATGCTTGTTGAGTACCGTTGTTGTTGGTACTTACTCCTTTGCTTTCTATACTTATGTAGGTTACAAGCCCAGATCGTTTTGACCATCTTCTTCTTATCTTCGTCTAAGGCTTGATTTTGGAGCTCGTGAGGTAGTTGTTTGTCATCTCGAAAGACATCACTTGCTCTTTCATTATGTCTTGTTTTGTTCTAGATACAAAGACGTTCAAACTTGTATTTCCTTTGAATCTATTGTAATACTTAGAGGCTTGAACAAGTGACACCAATCGTTGGGGGCATTTTGAGTTCTATTATGTTTTCCGCAGATTTATGTTATGATTAGTTCCTTATTCTATTTTACTTCTGCATTTACCTTGTCGCTTTTGGGTTTAGGTTGACCTGTCTTAGTGGGATAAGACAAGTGTCATCATGCCCGATTTTTGGATCATGACAGAATCACCTGAACTTTGTAGTGAAAAGCTACAACTTTACTATTGCGTCTAAAGGGGAAGGTACAAAAAAATATTACATGACATACAGTCATCAAATGATAGACTCAAGTACAAATAATCATTAAGGCGATTTCCAATCTCTTTGTATATAGGATGAGATTGATCAATCTACATCTATAAGAATAATACCTTACAACTCTTAATACTCTGTGAGACACTCTAGTATTTTCTTTAGGAAAACAGTAACTTTTATATCTCCACAATGATCTTTCCTGTGGCATGTCCATCAAGGCTCTTAGCCCAAGCATCTTGAGCCTTGCTCAAAGGATGTTTAGAGTCAAACATAGTCTTTAACTTCCCTTCCTTCACCAACTTAACAAGCAATTTCAATTCCTTATCTTCTTTAGGAATCAAAATCAACGGCAACAACTGCTTTTTGGAGAATGTCAGTTTCTTCCATACATAGGTGCACATTGAAATAGGCCCAGGAGTAAGATCAATGACCTTACCTGTGTCACTCAAATTAATCTCAAATGTTGACCAGGCAATGTCTCTAGTACAGTGAACCACTACATCATACTTTTTTCCTGATGGACTCTTAAGAGTTGCTCCTTGTGGCGTTTTATAGTCAAGAACCTCATCTGCTCCTAAGCTCTTTACGAATTCAATGTTACGAGCTCCACATGTCCCGGTAACATGAGTATTACCCAACTTTGCCAATTGAACAGCATAATGTCCAACACCACCCGAGGCAGCAGTGACAAGAATATTCATACGCGGTCCACTTCCGTCTAGCTTGATTCCAGCAATATCAACAAGGGCTTTGTGTGCTGTAAGAGCAGCAATTGGAAGGCCTGCACCTTCAGCAGCTGATACTTCCTCTGGCCTTTGAACAGTCAAGCTCTCCTTTGCAACTGCATACTCTGCCAATCCACCTCCAATCTGTTATCAAGCACTCAATTATTATTACAACTATAATATTAAGAGTTTCTATTTTGTGCATCGACAATGCAATGAATTCTTACGCTATCAAATTAAATTGACCTACAACAACATGCAATATCCGGTTAAATTGCATTGCCAGTTTAACAATTTTCTACCGTTAACTCATCATATTAAACCAAAAAAAAATAAAAATGGAAAGAATTGGACTTACAATGGTATTAAGAAGAGCCACAACTTTGTCACCAGCCTTAAATTTCACAACATTTGATCCAACCTCTACAACCTCTCCAGCTACATCAATACCTACTCCTCACAAATTAAAGATACAATTTCAAAAGTGAATAATTTTAATAAGAAGACAATAAACGAAATTAAAGAATTAACTTACATGGTATAACGGGAAATTTGCGAGGAACAAAAGGACGAGCCACGCCTTTCTGAAATCTCACGTCTAGTGGATTTAAACTTGTTGCCTCCAACTTTATCAAGACCTCATCATTGTTCGGAGTAGGCACTGGAACTTCAACATGCTGCAACAAGCAATAATAAAGACGATGTAAAACATATTATATATTTATTGAATCGCGTTACTTATAAGATAAAATTTCATTCAAAATGAATGGTTAGGAGAGTAAGTACCTTCAATCCATCAGCTCCTCCTCCATAAGAGTCGTACTGCACGGCGCGCATTAGCTTCCCTGACATACCTCCGGCTATATATTATTTTCGCTAATTAATTTTGTTTACGTACTCTGATCCTCCTATCTATTGATTCAGCAGGTGCATTTAAACTTAGATTGGGGACGAATTTTATGCGTTTGCATAGTTGAAAAGTGGTGCAAAGTCGGCCTTTGCTACTACTTGTCTAGGTGAATTTTCATCTTTGTGTAGTCGTGGCTTAACAATTATCACTTGTTAGTTGTTAGTAAACCAATCAAATGCATTGAAATATTCTCCTTGTTGCCTTGTTTGAATTGTGTGCCATCATGGCATGAATAAGAAGGAAACATTCCATTTTTCTAACGATACAAATACAAATTGAAGAAAGTAATTATTATTTCATAGGGGTGTGGTTTGAAACTTTTTAAGTAATTGTTTGTTCGTTTTAATTTGTTTGTCTAGTTTTGATTTGATAAAAAAAATGAATCTTATCATAAACTAATGATAAATAGAATTCACCAAAAATATTCTTTAATCTTGTAAAAGTTAGAATTAAAGAGTTACCGAAAATGAATGATACATTTTTTTTAAAAAAATCAATTATAAATGAAAGTAAGACAACCAAATTAAAACGAAAACGACATGAATTTTGAGATTTGTGCTGGCGCTTCATGTGGCCTAAATTTGAGTTAATTAATATAGCGGTGGTCAACTTCACAAAAGTTGCACTACTTTAAACTCATTCTGCTCATTGCATTAATAAAAATCCACTGAAAATATGACATTGTAATATAAAATATCAGGGCACTACAGCAACTTTGATATTTGGTGATTAATTATTTTCGCCAAAACATTTATTTCATCAATGTATATCTTTTTTGATAAAGTTTATTTTTGTCAATCCTTCATAACATGGATCACTGTTAGGGGTGTAAAAAATCGAATCAAAAATTGAATTAAATTGCAATTTTAAAAAAATTGACTAACGGCTTGATTTGAATTTTTTTTTTAAATTTGACTATATTTGGATTGGTTTTGGTTTTAACTAAAAAAAGTCAAGTCGGGATCAAATCAACCTGACATTATATATATAATTTTTAAAATTTATTTTATACATAAAAATATTTTCTTTTTTTTTGGTAACTAATTTGATTTTATTACAAAGTGAAAGTTAAAGAGCATAAGAAACAGTACTGGACAGCCCCAGCACTATTCATCAAAGGGTCACAATTACAACATGTGAAGGCCTAACTTTTCATCTCCTAAGGATAGTAGTCTCGTCTATATTGGTACATAACACACATGAGGTATCAGTAATAGTGCTCCTGTTCGATCTGACTAGTCTATCTCTGGCCAACAATCCATAGCAATTTGAACTCTAAGTGGAGAATGGTCTGAAAATTTTGGGTTCATAACGTGGACATCTAGTTGTGGGAACATCAACATTCACTCCCCATTGACTAGAGCTCTATCGATCTTGCTAGAAATATGGATGTTAGTCCAAGTGAAACTTCTACCACTTGATCGCATTTCAGTCATACTAGTGTCAAGTAGGAATTCATTAAAGTCCACAATTTCCATTTCTCTAACTGGATTGCCTCCTATTCTGTCTTCAGGATCAAGTATAGCATTATAATCTCCCAGTGCTAGCTAAGCCCCTTGCTGTTTCATATGTATCTCCGTGAGATCCTGTCATAGTATTTTCCTATCCTCCACCATATGAAGCCTATATATTGTAGTTAAGTTGAACACAATTTGAGAGCTTTCCACACATACGTTACCATGAATGTATTGCGCAGTCCTAACTTCAACTGTAAAATCAATGTGATTTGGGTCCCACGGGATCCAAATCCTATTTCTATCACTACATCTATAATTGTGGCACCAAGACCATCTTCTGCCGAATTTAGTAATTACTCTTTGCGTTTTATACTCTTGAACTCTATGCTCATAAATGGCAATTAAGCCAATGCTATGTTGCCCTAAGAAAGCATTAAATTCTCTATGATTGTAAGCTTTATTCATACCTCTAACGTTCCAACTAATGAGATTCATATTGGATCGTGTTGATTGGAAGTACCACCCCCGCCCATATCCTGACTTGTCCTTTCCCACATTCTTGAGAGGTTCAGTTGGTATGGTTCCAATGACCAGCGGGTTGAATCCATTCTTGGTATCCACTGTATTCTGTGTTGGCTGAGGGATGGTTTTAGACTTGCCTTTCACATTCTACCATTGCTCCTCTTGTGTAGTGGCTCGTGTGCCTGCAAGCATAGAGATGGCCTCCCCGTGAGCATCCTTCGCAGACTTCTTATGCCAAATTTGCTTCATAACCTTCCCCTTATTGCCCATGTGAGCTGGTTTAGGTGGCTCCTTTGCAAGAGCTGGTTTAAGTTGTTTATATGAGTGCCCCAACTGGAGGCAAGTACCACAATACTCCGGCACCCAGTCGTGTTGTACTTTTTGTGTGAATACCCTCCCATTCGGATCCACAACATTTACGGATTGAGGGAGTGCCTGGGTAATATTCATCTCCACCAAAATATGAGCAACCAATATATCCTTTCCACTATCGTGGTACAATCGTCAAATATAGCGGCACACCAAGCCTACTCCCAATTCTACTCAAAGAGTCCATTCCCCAGGAGTTCAATGGCAGATTAGGAAGTCTGACCCAAATGGGAATCGTTTGGAGGATTTCAGCATGAACGTCGAAGTCATCAGTCCACAACTTCATAATAATGGGCCTATTGCTTAGTGTGTATGGCCCTGTAAGGAACACTTCATCCCTATCCTTCTTTGAATTAAATCTTACTAGCTAGGAAGTACCCATCATCGTGGTAGAATACTTTAGACTTGGCAGTAAAATTCCATCAGTTTGCAATAAATCTATCTACAGCAGCAATGGTAGGTTCATGTCCTACAACATACAAAATCAAAGCATTTTTTCACTTCTCTGACTCCTTCTCTACTTCATCCTTGTTCAACTCAATAAATTGGGCACCATTTGTGATCGCCGGAGGAACAAAGTTGAGTGTCATACCTCTGGAACCCATCTTGTTACCCGAAAAGACCTCTTCCATTCCCTCTTTTCATCACGAGGCTTTAGGGTTGGTTGCGGAGGAGTTAGTCCAGTAGATCTGGCTTGGTTTTCCACCACCACCACCCTCATATCCTGTATCTCAGTTACAACATCTGGAACTGGAGTTGATCTCGAGTTGCTTGTTGTTACTACAGAGGGTGTGAGGATTTGAGCTTGACAAAGAGGGTCAGTCTTCTTGGCTTCCCTTAGTCGAGCTTGCAGATCCCTTTTCATTCCCTTCTTTAGCTTTCCCCATAACTTGAATAGTCTTCCCTAGATCAGGTTTGTCAATCTTGTCCTTCTGTGGCCGTCCCCTGGCCATTTCCGGCGAAATCGCACAAAGCTAACGTGCGCTTATCGGTTGCAATGGAACAGTGGTATCGTGTGCCTTAAGGATATTAGGGTCATATTTATTCAATGAAAAAATGTGGTCCTTAAAAATATCTTCTTTGATATAATTTCGAAATATTTCTTATAATTTTTATTTTTTAACATATTATTTCAAGTTTTATAGACTTGAGCCTGTTTGAATTAACTTAAAAATTAGTCAAAAACCTACTTTTAAGTCATTTTTAGGTATTGAGAGTGTTTGACTAAGTTAAAAAGAACTTAAAATAAGTTTTAAATGACTTTTAAAAAAAAGTTAAAAACCAAAATTAAGACTTGCTGTTTTTTATTTTTTGACTTAAAAGTTATTTAAGTTTGATCTTTTTTTTTATTTAAAAGTTAATTTTTTTTCAATCAATTCAAACGGGCTCTTAGAATTTTGAATGGTCCAATAAATGTTATACTCCATAGATATTTGTAACTCTAATAAAGCTCAAAGTAAAATCAAATTAATACTAATGCTAACAAAAAATATTAATTCAACACTAAAATGACAATAGTGCTGAATATGTGTTCTTTAGTTTTATATTGGTTTAGACATTCAAAATGCATAACTCAATTTTATTTTTTCTTTAATGTTTAATTATATAACTAATACTTGTTAGATTTATTTTAGCATGATTTAGTACTTTTGAAAATGATAATTTTCATTGACTTATTAATTTGCAATATTTATTTTATGCGATTCATTATTATTTTTGTTGAATATTTTAGTGTCATCACTCATCTCATATTTTGTGTTATTTCTTAAGAAACACCTTAGATAGTTGTACTTTGGTAGGACTAAATAAATGTTTTGTACAAGTTAATTATATGTTTGTATGAATACTTTGCTGGAAAAATCTAAAAAAAACATGAGGTTGAAAAACCCGAACTTTATTAGTTTGATTTGATTTGTAAATTAAAAAATTTGATACAAATAATTTGATTTGATACTTGAAACCAACCTGACCACGTACACCCTAATCACTGTAAATAAATATGATTTGATGATTCATAGCTAGAATAGCGTTGTAAGTAGAGATAAAATATTTTTCTCGTCTCAAAATTTGTTAAAATAATAAACTTAATCGTCTGATGGTTAAAAGTAACTTTTATTACTGCGTAGAAACAAATTTGTCATATTATCCTAATTAGTGACAATTTAAATGTCTATAATTTGTAGTTAATGACATTGCATCACTAAAAATTATGTTGATTTGAATAAAATTGAACCTTGTGTACACTCAATTTTTTTCGTCCCTAATATTAAATAATAAATCATTTCGTATTGTTTTTAATTTTGTAGATAATTCAATTATTTGAATATGATGAATTTGGAGGAATTGAGAAGAAGAGTAGGATGAAGAAGATAAAGATAGCATATAGAGAGAAGAAGAGTAAAGTGTATTATTCAATCTTGGCTTTATATAAATACTTAACAACTAATTAACTGTTTAGTTAAACTAACTAATTATATTCAGAAAATAATTAATGTGCCCTTTGGTCCAAGTTACATTTTCTTCAACAGTCACTTTCAAGCTCGGTGGTGCAAAGACATTAGGCACAACTTGCTTGGAACGTAAAAATTGGTGTTCGACTTTATTTAATTTTTTGGGATAAGACATAAGTATCCCTCTAGACTATGATCGAAATTCAGAGATACACCTAAACTTAATTAAGGTCCTATTACCCCTCCTAAACTCATTTTTTTCGTATTTTTGTGCACCTTTTGTGCTAACGTGGCACCTTCAACCACCCAAGTTGGTTGTGTTTGTACACACTCTCCCGCCACGTGTGTAAATTCTTATTTTTTTCTTTTTTAATTAAATTTTTTAAATTTTTTAATTTTAAAAAAATATTCTTA